ACAGCAGTGTGTTTGAGGTGAGCCTCCAGTTAACTCACATGCTGTCCATGAACCAATCAGAAGCTTAATGTCTGTTTGTTTGCATTTCTGCTGCTTTTTAAAGACCCGGTTCTGGTCCGAGTTGTTCTCCGAAGGCTGCTCGAGGGCCTGGAGGAGCTGAGTTGGCTGTTTTTCTTATGTTCAGATTCAGGTGATGCAAATGAAAGAGTGAAACCCAGTCGTAGCTCATCAGCGCTCATGGCTCGGGCCGGACCCACCCGTCTTTGTCCATCATTACTGTGGTTAAGTGAGAAACAGCAGACGTTAATCATAGTGAAGCTCGTTCAGGCTTCAGTCGGTCTTTATCCTCCAGACGCTCAGGAGGAAGGAATCAGGCTCCACATGTCCAGTAAACGTTGTTTCTCAGCTAAACAGCAGCTAAACATCAAATCCTTCAACACGGCATCGTCCACGGAACAAACAGCTTGTTGTGTTTAATCATTCTTTGGTAACTTAACCTTCAGACGACTGCATTCTATCTCCAGCAGAGGAACGATGACCGACATGAACTCACATGAACAGATGTTTGAAGTTCTATTGAGGAACATAAACGATGGAAACCGTTCACACACTGATGCAAACATTTAAACTAAACGTCAGAACAACCGACCTCGAGCCCAGAAACAGAAAAAAGTCAAAACCTTCTGACTTACAGATGAAGCCGGTTTGTGGACTGATGCTCTGACCACGTCACACGGAGGACAACTTCCTGGACAGTACTTCCTGTTTCCTGTTAGCTCACTTCCTGTTAAGTGCTGCTACCAGCAGGTGGCGCAATAAAATAACTTCAAAGAGCCACAAGGAGGCAAAACGAACACCACAAAGAGACACACAATGACGACAAAGAGACACAAAACAACCACAAACAGAATAAAATGACCACAGGGAGACAAAACGACTTCAAAAAGACACAAAACAGCCATAAGGAGGCACAAAATGATGACAAAGACACACAAAAACAACCACAAAAATACACAACAAGAGGATTTTCTATTTAATATGAACTCAATGATGGGATTTTTTATTATTTCCTTATTTTCTTTCACATTTCAGCTCATCTGCATCAGAGACTATTTGATTTACAGCAAGCAAACGGTCAAAACTGTATTAAATTCCTCTGAACCGGTGCTTGATTCACAAACAACAAGTTTAGTTTGAATTGAAAACTTAATGTCAAGAAACTGAATTTCAATCTAATAAATTCAATTTCAAATGATGTGATCAGAATTCAGATTTATTACCATGTGCAATATTTACTTGAATAATTTAAAACATTTTTTTCTTTATATTTCTACATTCAGCTTTCAAAATTCATAAAACAAAACTTGTATCGTCATCTGTTGAACCGAAATATGTGAGACTAGACACTGAATATGTTTAATAATACATATACATACATAAATATATGTTTAATTGCATTAAAAATGTAATTTGAATTGAAAAGTTGATGTCAAAACTGAAGCATACAGAGCTGTCTAGTTAATTTCAGAGCAACTGAATTCAGTTTCATTGTGATAAATTCACTTTCACATTAAATACATTTGAATATAAATGATTTAAATCAGTTTGTAGAGGCACAGATTGATATTTGATGAATGATATTTTAGCCTCGAACTGTTTGCTGCTGAGTCATTAAAACATTAAACGAGCTGCAAAACCAAAATCAGGAGCTAAAAGAGGCTCAAAAGCTCAACAAGCCTCATTCAAACTGGACTTTAGAAAGAATTCAGCTGCTGGTTCTGAGACAAAAGCCCGACTGGAGCCCTGAGGATGTTTACGGCTCGTCGTCGCTTCACGTCGTTTCCATCCTCGGTAACGAAGGAACATCTGGAA